AGGTCCAGGAAAATGATGGAGTGTAAACTCTCCCTTTTCTTTGGTCTGCTGCTCTTCATGTCCATCTGATCAGGTCCAAGTTCTTTTAGTTTAAGTTTCTCCTGGTGTGTTCTCATCAAAAAGGTTGTGTTTAAGAGACTTAGCTGAGTTGTTAGCTCCTCCATTAGCTTACTGGGTTCAATCTGTCCTGCCCTACTGAACATGGCGTTGACCCACTGCCGGTATGCAGACCACGCTCTGGGTGCAGCTCAGCTGCGCCCAGAGCTTCCCTATTCTTTTGCATTGAGGACCTACTGCGCATGCCCAGGAGTTAACATTAAACTTCAACGGTAAAGATTTCTGCGCCCTAGCATGAACCAGAAGTGACTCATGTGTAAAATCAAAGTTTATCCATTGATAACTACATAAAATATATGTTACACATCTAAAACGTACACAGATATTTCTACTAAACATTTTAATTTGTTATTTTGTTTCTATTTTTTTCTGTCCCAAAAACTAGTGGTGGGGCGGCACCCTAGCGCTGTCTGTTGACCACCCGACACTGCTCCAGATTGGAAATGACTTTATGACCCATCCTAGACTGAAGAACTCTAACAAGTCTGTATTTTTGTTTTCACTTCAGGTAAACCGGTGATGATTATCACAGAGTACATGGAGAATGGCTCTCTGGATGCTTTCCTCAGGGTTGGTGTTCGATATCTCTTCAAAAAAATATGCTGCTGATTTGTTTTTGATACATTTTAACCAAGCTATTGTTCATCTATGTGACTTTTATTGTCTTTGTTTTTAGTTTGCTTCCAACAAACTTTTCAGTTGATCACATTGCAGTAAAGTAGCACTGGGAAAACCATGAACAATACAAATAAACTATCAAAATAAACTACAGTACAATCCAGTGGTTGTCCATCGTCTTTTGCAGTAACAGCAAGACTAGGCAGAAGCATTACTAGTTGTGTGTTGGAGGATTGTTGTGTCACATCCTCAAAGTCACACAGCTTTAGTATTTTCTCATATGACAAACTTCCAGATTATTAAATTAAATTTAGGTAATTTCATGTTTTGTCTCTGATCCTGTAGAGGCATGATGGCCAGTTTACCATCATACAGCTGGTTGGGTTGCTGCGTGGTGTCGCAGCAGGTATGACCTACCTGTCTGACCTGGGCTACATCCACCGGGACCTGGCTGCCCGCAACATCCTGGTCAACAGCAACTTGGTGTGCAAGGTTTCGGACTTCGGCCTGTCCCGAGTGCTGGAGGACGATCCCGACGCTGCATACACCACCAGTGTGAGTTTTCACATTGAGGCAAGCATTAATGCAGCAACCCACACACACACACACTATGTCTTTCTATCCTTGTGGGGACTTTCCATTGACTTCGATTTGTTTTTTTGAAATTTCATAGCCTAACCCTGACCATTCACCCTAAGGGTAACCTCACAGGTACCAACCTGACCCTAAAACTAACCTAAACTCAATTCACACCTTGGTCACACCCAACCCCCACACCCAAAATCAGCCTCCGAAGTTGTGGGGACCGGGCTTTGGTCCCCACAAGGAGCATCCAGTCCCCACAAGGCTGGATTTTCCTGAGAAATTGTCCCCACCAAGTAGCAAGAACAAGGCCACCCACACACCACACATCCACACACACAGGTTTGTTGTTATAGCCCTGTGGGGACCGTGAATTGACTTCCATTCATTTTTTGGTAATTTTATAGCCTAACAGGTACCTACCTAACCCTAAAACTAACATAAACTCAATTCATGCCATGGTCCTTAACCATGGCATGAACCATTGGGGCGGCTGTGGTGTAGTGGTAGAGCAGCTGGCTTGGGACCCGAAAGTCACTGGTTTGATTCCCTGCCATGCCCACTTGTCATGGTGTCCTTGAGCAAGACACCCAACCCGGGCGCCTACATAGTTGCCCGCTGCTCCACTTGGGTGTTTCTCACATGCGATGGGTCAAATGCAGAGTACAGATTTCATCATTTTATGGGAACATGCTAGCTTGGCCCTTGCCTTCCTACGACAGAGAACATGACAAGCTAACATTTCTGATCATTCTAAACATATTGTGTTTTGGATAAAGTAAAGTTTCATGACATATACAATGATTCATGACATATTTCATTAAAAATGAACAAGTCAGCTCAGTCTGGGACTGACATGTGCTGTCTCCCTGGATCACGAAGCTCTTTACCGCTGAGCTCTGTCTGACCCAGACTAGACTTCCCCGCTGCGGTGAGCTGTCTGCCTTTTTTTTCTCCTCCCTCTGTGTGCATACACACATTCTGTTCTTGTTTACCTGTTTCTACAGGACGTACAGCGGGCTGGGGTGTGTGTGTGTGTGTGTGCGTGCGTGCGTGCGTGCGTGCGTGCGTGCGTGC